TACGCCCTGGGGCCCAGGGGGCTTCAGAATAAGCTCCTCTGCTGCTTTGCCCAAGACTGCATCCAGGTCTAGTTTATCAGTTGGGTCAGTCCCCCACATAAACCTATTTTTGCATCTCAGTCATCACAGTGCCAGTAGAGCCTCCATTCTTATCCTTATCCACCTGAAAAGGTAAAACATCAGAGCATAAGACCTGGGCTAAATATTAGGGGAGAAAAAAAAAAAGTTTTCTAGGCAAAGGGAGAGGTGGGCATCAAGAGACTGCCCGAGGAGATTCCCACAAGTAGGTTAGACACATATTTGTCAGGTAAAACTAACAGTGAGTTGCCCCTGCCCAGGAGCGGGGCAGACCAAGATGCCCAGACAAGGTCTCTTCCCCTCCTCTTCCAAGGATTTTGTGTGTATCCTCTGACAGCAACATGGTGAAAGGGTTTGCTTACAAAACATTTTCAGAAACAAAATTGTTAGATGTGTACAAATGTCTCTGAGGAAATGATTACAAGGAAAACAGCTTCTTCTGACAGCTGATTAGACATCAGAAGGGTTGAAACCCCAGTCACTGCGACTACTCCCAGTACAACAAAACTAAGATATTTTAATTTAATTTACAAAATGAGGGAGAGAGCAGCTTCTGCTCCTCCAGACATCAGTGGCCCTCTGTGAAATAAAGATACCTTCCGGGACATGAGAAATGTGACGTTCCTGGTCCTCTTTCAGTGCTCATTGCCATTACTGATTGCACAGATGCGATGGATTTTTGAACACAAGATCTATTATGTTTCCTGCCAGAGGCTCAGATATGTACAGGCACTGAAAACACTGCCAGGTAGTTACTTTTTATACTGACTCAGTATTTGCCGGCAGTTGCTGCCAAGCATTAGCTTGACTCTTACCAATAGGTTGGGAAGTCAGCACTGCTAAGGAAATTCTTCACGTTATCTGAAAGATCACCTTCCCCCCATCCCAGAACAATATCCAAGCGATTCTCACACTCGAAGAACTACCCCAAGGCAAATTCCTACCCCAAGGAATTCGTGATACCCAAGGCAGAACTGGCTTCACCCTTTCCGCCCCCACACAGCATTTGTTCTGCAAAATCCTGCTGGATTGGAGCTGCCTTATTGCCCCACAGGGGAATCCAGCCCCTTATTGCCCCCACCTGGGAGATCATGTATTTATACACAGGTGCTTTTAAGTCCAACCTCTCTCAGCATGACCTTGGGAATGAAGATGGCACCGTCTTTTTCCCACTTTGTGCCAGCCAGGAAGTCCAGCGCCTGCCAAACACCGGCCAGACGCCGCAGAACACCACAAAGTGCAAAGAAGTTCTTCCCTTGCAAAGCCAAATCAGCCATTTGATAATTAACCACCCGGATCGAGCCAGACAAGCCATGAGGACGAGGGTGAAGATCGCTGTGCTCCCCCACACAACCCGCGCCCCGCGGGGCGGCCCGGAGGAGGTTGGGGGCTGACCCCGGACCTTGCTCGCAGACACGGTGGCAGATGTGCCGGGCTTCCCCACGGTCTCCCCCTTGCCTGGCAGATGCTGGCCTCTCTGGGAAAGCGCTAAATGGATTCTGCTGAATCACTGCAGCAGATGGTTCGTAACACCACCTGGATAGCACAGAAAAGAGAGAGAGATAAAGAAGGTTGGGGAACAGAGAGTACCTAGTGTGTGGGCTGAGTTATCCCTAGGGAAAAGTAACCTGTGGATAAGGTCGTCATTTGAACTTTGTTTTCTCAAATTCCTATGTTATTAAGACTACTATCATCCCTTTCCTAGCAATTCTATCCTGACATCTACAACATATATTCCTTAAAAACCCCTTGGGAAAAGCCTTCAAAACCCCTTGGGATGCCAGAGACCATCCTCTGCCACTGGAAAACGATGGCAGCGCTCCCTGGCCCAGGCTGCTCTGGCTGGTGGTAGCACCAGCCTTCATCCCCATCTGTACCAAACTCCTCTAGGTAGGGTAGGGCACATATGAGGCTGATGTACAAAGGCACAAGAACATGAACGGGGGTTTGGGAGAGGTAGGTGGGGTTGGTTTTATTGTTTGTTTTTTGTTTTAAAGCCAGGTTGGCAAGTACTTTAGTTTTCTGCAACACATCATTTTGAAAGGGCAGGGGAGCCAGCTGTGTACAGAAGTGAGCAGCTGTACAAGAGGGAAAAACAAACAGGAAACAGGTAACAATAACCAGTGTGTTTGCTCACTCTCCTCCTGTTAAACTGCAATAGCAATATCTTTTTTTTTTTAAACTGAGATGAAAAGAGCGTGTCAGGAAGAGCGTAGGGCTACAGCACGTACACAGAGGGTGCATCTCTCTGCAGCGGCTCATCCCACCTCTGAAAAGTAAGAAACTGGGATCCCTCAGTTCAGTTGCTCCAAGACGTGTCACTGCACAAAGCTGCTCAACCTGCAGCATTTCCAGCTGGGTCCTCCCCGGCACAAAACATCAAGTCATTTGAGATAAGGAGTTCTCCAGGCAGTCGGTCGCAGCTCCGTTCGTGATTCCTCCTCCTCCTCCTCCCAGGACAAGGCGTTTTCACACATCAACTGCACAGTAGGCTAGACCTGAGCCCAGCTTTGCCCTACCTAGGCTGTTTTTGCTGGGTCACACCTGCCATTGACTCCCTCAGATAACCGCTGCTGTTCGATGTTCTGCTGTGCACCTTGCTCAGCAGAACAGCGCAGAAAGACACTCGTGGGCAAGCAAAGTTCAGGGTGGCACAGTCTGACCCCGAGCACCAGGGAAGCACTGGAAGGTGACAGTACTACCAACCAGCTGAGCAATATAAAGATTCCTCTACCCCTCCACCTTCTCATGGGGGACCTCCCTCATTAATGAGCCTGGAGGCCTATTTCACCCACAAGAATCTAATTTGAGCAATAAATAAGATCCATCCACACAGTGCTTCCCACAACGTAGGATCCAACAGCACCAGGGACCTCACCTGGCGACGCTTCCCTGGATCAGCAAGAACCCTCCATCAGTGCTTGGGAGGCACTTGGTCCAAACCCATACTCCACCACCTAAGCTAGGAAAAAGCCATTTTTCCATGGTCTCCAGCTGCACAGCAGCACTTGATGACAGAGCCAGATGCATCTGGACATCCATAGCCACCTCTGTGCATACCAAGGCCAGATCACCTCCAGAAGGCACTCAGCACTTCAAAACAAAAGCTAAAAATAAACATTTCCCAACACTCACCCCAAGGAGAACCAGGCTTTGCAAGGGCAGCAGGAACCCAAACTGCTGGCATTGGCAGGGCTGACCCTTGCCAACCTAAGGAGCCCATGACATGCTGTAATCCTGGAAGATGACAGCCCTTACAGCATGGGATTAGGACAGCAGATGCTCCCAGGGGTCACCCCCTTTCCCACAAGGAAGGTCAGGATCACTCCCAACATGGCCATGAGCTGGCAAGGCAGGGAATCCTGCCTAGAGCAATCCTATTGCTTATTTGGTACATACACAGCCTGCACCCCCACCCCCCCCTTCCCAGTATCCGCTTAGTGGCCTGGTTTCTTCTCAAAGCTTTTTATATTTCACATTCCTAAGATTTAATTATGTTATCAGAACAACAGGCATCAGGATTTGGAGTGCCAGAATTCACATTAGCAATTGCTATCAACAAAGAAAATGGGCACAGCATGCCCATGCCAGAGGAGATGTGGGCTGCTCTCCTCAATCTACTCACGGTTATTTATAGCCTGTTTGCAAGCCATCCACCTCCCAGGTTTAGCTTCAAGCTTGCTTCCTTCTGAGCACCCTCTCCCTCAAAGAAAAGCCTTTTGCCTCCTCCTTCCCCAGCACAGCATTCAGATTTGGGTAAAATTTATGTAATTCGTTTTTGGGGCAGGGAGGAGATGAGACACCTTCGAATGTTCTTCTGTACATCCAAAACAGCAGAAAAGAGTGGAAACAGAGTGCTGCAAATTAGCAGCTGCAGGGACACCCATCTCTAAGGGGTAGAAATTAAAAAAAAAATAAAAATATTTATAGGTTCTAACACTTCACCACATTGCAGCAGGATCACCACGCATGTTCAGCAGCTTTCTGCCCTCCTTGCAGATGGGGATGGAGACATAAGGATCTATAAGGAAGGACACATGCTTGAAGGCAAGAAATACCCACCTATTTTGAGATGATTGCAAAGCAGCAGCTACATGACAGCAGGAGGGGAGAAATTGCTGTGCCTCCCCACCAGCATTAACTACAACCTGCCCACCCTTCCACCAGCAACGTTTTGAGGCAGTTTGATTCTGCCAGGATGCTTTGCTTCCAAATAATTAAGAAACACAAGGCACAGTGTACATAGGTGCAAACCTACACACCAGCTTATTGTCCTCCCCTGAGCAGCAGCTGGCATGGACAGCTGGTGCCTTCTTTCTCCCCAAGCCCAGCCCCTGCTGAACTCAGCCCAAGTTTTAAGGGGGACATGAGCAGGAGTAGATCAGACCTCAGCTCTGCCAAGGCTGGGAGATTCAGCACTTAAGAGAAGCCCCTCATGCCAGTTAGCCCATGTAGTGTCGGGATCAGCCCAAAGGTGTGGGGTGCTGGTGGCACCAATGCCTTTGTTGGGCTGTCCTTGGCCACCACAACACCTCTGCTTTCACAGGTTTGTCACCGGGCCACCACCACCCACCCGTGACTGTCACAGCACCACTCAGGGCAGGGCTGATACACACGGGAGAGCTGAGCCCCTTCAAACGTCCCCGGTAACTCTGGTTAAAATGCAGAAGTGGTGCTGGTTTAGGTCCAGCCCAGTAACTAAGGAAATGCTCAGTCAGGCTCTGACTGCAACACAGCAGTTCCTCACATGCCTAAAATTCCACATGGCCCTGAAAAAGAAAGGAATTATTAAAGTATATAATAATAATTATAAGAAAAGCAGCACATTACAAAATATTTATAAATATTAATCAATATTAATATGGAATAAAAAAACCCCAAACACCACACCCCTTCCGCTAAAGGGGGGAGCAGGCTCAAGCTTACAATTCTAGCACGTTTTATTTTGTGTAAATTTATAAAGACAACAATCCTAGTCACGATTGTCACATTGTACAGCACATACCAATACAGCTGCAAACAGAACTCCACGCAAAACTAAGCGCTAACAGTAGCTTGAATCACTCTTCCTGCGATTGTCATATCTAGACTAACAGCATTACACTAACACTGAAGGAAAAATAGTTCACTATAAAACAGTGATAGAACATTTTTATAAAATATATTCCATTCCAATAGCTTCTCTACATACTGTATACTATAAAACTCTCCCACAAAAATTAGTGTCTTTAAATATACATATTTAATCTGAACTGCACCAAGATTAAAAACAATTAAAAATATCAATGATTTTTTTTTTTCTTTTTTACATTAACTTCACAGTATTTGTTTGTAGTAGAAGACAAATCCAGTGTTTAAAATGCAGAGCGGGACTGTTCCCTACGGAGACAGCAACCACCCCACAGAGAAATAAGTTTATGAAGAGACAAGCGTTGTGTGCCATGTTTTAGTACTTCTCCGTAGAGCCATGAACCATTTTGAAGACATGCTCCAAGCTATTGCAACTTAAAAATAAGAGACACACAGAGAGATAGCAAAAAAAAAAGTCACCTTAAGAACAAAAATAAGTGCAAACATTTCTTTACTTTAGAAATTCAAGCTATGAGGAGTGGGAACACAAATACCAGACTATGAGAACAGCATGTTCATGAAGTCAAGAATGAGAAAGTCTTTTTTTCCTTATTTTAAAAAAAACCAAAATAAAACAAAAACAACTTTTGCCCCATATTCACTGCAGTACAGAGCATGCTCATAGCATCAGTTTAATGAATTATTTCTATACTAAGATCAGACACAAACTTGTTTCAACTTTTCCCTGCTCCATACGCTAATGATGTTCTTATGGCACATCCTATTTTATGATCTTCTAAAAAAATAAAAACAAACAGTAATTGAAGACTGAAATGCAAACAAAAGTGTCAAAAGAATGCAAAATTAAGATTACCAGCTTCAGTAATGCTGACTCTACATTAAACTCTTTACATGTTGCTCAACATGCAAAACCCATTGTTATAAAATTTAAAGTGAAGTGTAAATTAACTAGTTTTGAAATAGATTAACAGTAATAATTCCACTTCAAAAACAAAAACAAAAAAAATCTAATAAATACTATATCAAGTATCTTCAGGAGAAAAAAATAACTTAATTTTAGTAGAAAGAAAAATAACTTAATTTTAGTAGATTTTGTTCAGTGCTATTTCCAATCACAGCAAAAATAAAAAAGAAAAAAAAAAAAAAAACGATTAAGTAGAATAAGACCACAGTACCAAAGCCACTTATGTTCAAGATACAGTACTCTCCCACAACTTTCATATGTAACAGGTTCAGCAAAAATATTTTACAGTTGAGAAATCAGACTGAAAACAAAACCCAAAACTATAAATAAAAGCAAAATTTCACATTACATGTACATTCATATTTTAAGAGATGAATAATAAGAAGAGGCTGTAACAAGTATATCCTGATTTTCTTTAAAAGAGGAAGTACTTATTAAAAAAAAAAAAAAATAGTCAATCCCATATTATTTATGTAGGTAGTGCTCAGTTTTTGGACCAGAGGGGGAAAGGCATTGGGAAGTTTTTTCTTCATAAGATACAATACAGTATTTTAAGCACAACTTTTTAAAATAATCTAACTCAGTGCTTCAAATTCATTTTAAAATAAACGCTTAAGTTTCACAAAACAGCTCCAGGAGTGTCAGGAAAGCTGATGAAGCAATGCTAATACAGCAGAACGACATTCAAAACCCCCAGATATTATTATTATAGTTCAGTCCCATGTACATGTACCTTGAATGGGTAATTTGACTGGAAGGGAATAATCTGATATCCGCCAACATGCACGGACCAAAGGATGCTCTATTAGGCAAGAAACTGAGTTATCTGGAGTAAAACTGGCTATAGTTACAGGCAGCCTCAGTTTACAAACAAACTGAAAAAAAAAAAACCAACAAAACCAACCAAAAAAACAACAAAACACCTCAAACAAAAAAACTCCACCTAAAAATACCCCCAAAAACTTCCCCTGAAAAGGTGGGACATGGGGGAGAAAGTTAGGCCATGCTTCCCTCCAGCGGTTCATCTTCACGCTGCCCCTTCGAAACACCGGCGATTGCACACGATCTGGCTCAGAGGGATTCACCAACTTCATAAAAAATTAAATAAAATATAATTTCATGCTGCTGATTGTAGCATGGCAGCAAACTTTTCAGACAAGACAGCAGGGCATCTCCTAATAGTCACCTTGAACCAAGAAACCCCAGGAGCCTGATACTGGGAGGGGTATTTGGCCTCTTTAGGGCTGCTCTCCCCTGCAAGGGGGATGGGATCAGCCTCTGGGTTTCAATGTGGAAATGAAAATATTCACATATCATATGATTTTTTTGTATGTCCTGGTGCGCATCCTTAACATTTTGGGAGTGAATACGCTGTGGACAGGAAGAGTTTTTCCATCCACACTCTATGCTCAAAAGCAGCTTTTCAGTAGGTCAAGCCCAGTGAAGAGGATGGGTGGGAGGGGAAAATTTAAGTCAAGTCCCGAGGCACAAACTTCTCATTTAGATTTTAGGACCTACTGCAGAACTACACTAATGGAATAAAGAGAATAAAAAATGACCAGTACCAAAGGCACAGCCAGGAATCCTCAACCCCTTTAAAATTTGGGCTAATTTAATGTCTCATCTAGCCCTAGAAATAAAAGTATGTCTGCTCACTCTGAGACGAGTGGACAAGTTTCTCTACACCAAAATGTATTTAAATCATAGTTCATCTCTTCAGAGGATTCTCTGCAACACATAGAGAGCATTAGGGGAGCTTAATGGAATCCAAATTTTTCTCCGGAATTTGCTGATAGTCTTTTCATAAACTGAAAAAAAAAAAAACAAAACACCAACCTAAAACAAAAAAAAACCCTCAAACCAACAAAACCCTGACCACGAAGAAAGTACTTCCAGTGTGAAAACAGATGCTAAATCATTGCAGAATTACTTAAAATCATTTCACATTAATAATGTAACATGGGTGCGCAAGAGAAGACCTAAAGGACAGTGCTGGGTAGGGAGGGTGGCAGGGGAAGGTGGGAGATGGAAAGGTAGAAGGATTGCATTGAAAGGCCTCTGGAGTGTATACCTCTGCATCTTTTACAGATCATATACCTGAAGTGAATATCACAAAAGTAAAATAAAGGAAAGGAGGGAGGGGAAAAAAAAAAAATTAAAAATTCAGATGCTGCCTTTTTTTCCTGTTTTGTTTTAAAAGGGCTGGGGGGATATTTAAAAAAAAAAAAAAATAAATCACACACATCTCAAACAACCAAGGACTTTACAAGGCCACAATGAAATTTGCGGATATGTCTGTACAAATCCCCAGACTGCGTGAAGCGTCTCTCGCACCACTTGCACCCGTGGGGCTTCTCCCTGGTGTGCACGACCGCGTGGCGGCTGAGGTTGTGGGAATACTGGAAGCTCTTTCCGCACTGGCCGCAGGTGTAGGGCTTCTCCCCCGAGTGAGTCCTCTCGTGCCTCTTTAACGTGTACATGCAAGAAAAAGTCTTTCCGCAGAGGGTGCAAGTGGGGACCGACCCGTCGGGGGACAGGCGGGTCCGGGAGCCGTCCTTGTCACGGAAGTGAGAGCTCAGGTGCAGCTGAAGGATGTGTGGGCTCGGGAACACCTTGCTACAGAGGGGACAAATGCAGATATGCCCAGGAGGCACGAGGACACCCGAGGAGATGTCCGACGAATCCATGTCGTCCTCGCTCTCATCTCGCTCTTGATCTATATCCTCCTCTCGGGCATGAGAGCTGCCATTCCCCGTGAACATGTGTCCTAACCCTGTCACTAGGCTTTTGGCTGAATTCCCAAAATGCTGACTCTCTGGACTCCTGGCTTCACTGTCCTCCTGATCTGACAGCAAGTCTTGTTCATCTTTAACAAGTGGCTCGGTACCCTGCTGCTGGCTGTCGGAAGCCAGCTGTCCAAAGACATAGGAGGGGTGTAAGGAATCTCTCCCCGGCACAGGCTTGAAAGACAAATCCAGCGCACAGTCCACATCACTCGAAGCCAGGGGATGGTTAACAGACCTTTGGGACAAAGGTCCTGTGGAACTATTGACATTAGCCTTTGTTTTTCCAGCTGCTGCAGCGCACGGTTCTGCCTCTGTCGGCACAGAGCTGACACTTATATGATCAGAGGACCAGGCGGGGTGACTGCTGACCTTTTCTTTGCCTGCTGCTCTCTCGTATTCTGCAACGCTGAATTTTTGTTTGTTTCCTGGGTCAAACTCGTGGACCAGGGGCACTCCGGCGTCTAGAAAATGCTCCGCTTTCTCCAAACCAGCCGCCTCATCATTAATCTTCTCTTCCGGACATAATTCTTTATCTTTCAACTTGCCCTTGCAGACTTTCACAATGTCATACATGTGAAGGTAGCTCGCCGCAGCCAGCACATCTTCCACCGGGAGACTGTTGAATTCCAGCTTTCCCTCGTACATGAATTCGAGCAGCAGGCTGAAGGCAGGGGCTGTGACAATGTCACTGTTCAGATGCACAATATCCCTTTTGTCTAACTGGTCCCTGTAGAAAAGATGGAAGTACATACTGCAAGAGGCAAGAACGGCTCTGTGAGCTCTGAATTGAGCTTCTCCAACTAAAACAGTACAGTCACACAGGAAGCCCTGGTGACGCTGCTGACTCAGACACTGCAGCAACTGGCGGCTATGGTCTGGAAACTCCATTCTTCCTTCATAACCTGTTCAAAACAGGAAAAACTTGAATGCTACTGTAAACTAAAGCCTCCTAGCAGCTGTAACAAACAGATCGGCTTTTTGGTAACCCAAGCCAAAGAAACAGCCTTGGAGATAACGTTTACTGTTAATTGTCTGTAATAGTTTTATTAAGGGGGGGGGGGAGGGAAAAAAAACCAACACAACATGCTTCTCATCCTTTCGCACCTGCTCCGAACAGGAAAAACTTGATTGTAAGTAAACAAAAGCTAGTAAAGCAGCAGCCCCTCCAACCTTTGTTTCTCCCACTAAGCACTTTAATAAAATTAAGCGGAGGAAAGCACACATACATACACACACTCCGAAAAGAAAAAAAAGCATAAACTCCCAGGCTGTCTTCCCAGCAACGCTAACTTGGGGCATCTTTTAATAAAGCATATTGCCCGCGTCACGCACACACACACACACACACACACACACACGCACATTTAAACTTTATCCTCAGTCGTTATGCACCGAATCACAACAAAACAGCGGCGGCTGGAGCAGCGGATCCGCGGGGAGGGGGGCGCGGGGCGGGAGCGGCCGCGGCCCTCGCATGCGGAAAGGGGCGGGCGGGGGGCCGAGGTGGTGGTGGGTGGGGGGTGGATAAAAGAGGGGAGTAGGAAAAAGTTTCCCTTGAAGTTATTAAAAGGTAAGGAGGAAAATAAGCGTCGGCAGGCCGGCGGGAGGGCAGGGCTGGGGCCGCAGCCGGCTGCGTGCCGCGGCCGGGCGCTTACCTTGCACGGGGCGCGGAGCCGGGCGGGCAGGAGGGAGCGCGGTGCGAGTGCGAGAGAGGCGCGGCGGGAGGGAGGGAGGGGGAGAGCAGGGAAAGAGAGAGAGAGAGAGGCAGGCGGGAGGGAGGAGGAGGGAGGGAGGGGAAGGAGGAGTGCTCGGTTTGCTAATTACACCGCAAGCTGGAGAGTCAGCTGCTCTGACTTCACTGCGATGGAAATGCTACCTCCAGCTGTGCGCCTTTTAATGCCATATGTTACTCCAAATCTCGCTACCAGCCAACCACAGCTTGCTGCCTTTTAAAGTTCCAGCAGCCCCATTTATAGCCCGCGATTAAATCCCACAAACTTGCCCCGAGCCCGCCTCCCCCCACGGACACTCTCACCACCACAACCACCACCACCGCCGCCACCCGCCCCCCACTCCGCAAACCGGACCCCACCTCCCACCGCAAAGTTGCTGCTCCCCGCACCCCGCCGCGGTGACCTTCGCCGGTGCGAAAGGAGGGGAGGGGGGGGGTAGGGGGGGAAGCACCGCGGAAGCGCTTTTGGGATTTCCCCTCCTCCTCCTTTTTACACCCAAGTTTGCGGGGCGCACCTCGGGCCGGCGGGGGGGCGCGGTGCGGTGCGGTGCGGTGCGGTGCGGTGCGGTGTGCCGTGCCCCGGCCCGCGTTACTCACCGGCGGGCGGCGGCGGCGGCGCGCGGGCTCCGCATGTGCGCGGCGGCGCGGGCGCTCCGCGGGCGCGGCGCGGGGCTGGGGAGCAGGTTGTTCGCCGGCCGCTCTCGCGATACTTTGGCCGCCGCTGCTGGTGCCGCGGGCGAGCGCTGAGGGCGAGCGAGGGAGCGCCGTGTCCCCGTCTGGTGCCACACAATGGCCCCGCCGCCCCGGCCAGCCCCGCCGCCGCCGGCCGGTGCGCGCTGCCGCCTGCGCCCTCCCCCTCGCCGCCGCCTCCTCCTCCTCCTCCTCCTCCTCCCTCTCCTCCTGCCGCTGCCGCCCTCCCTCCCCTCACGGCCGCTGCATTGGCAGCGCCGCCGTCCCGCTCCCAACTCGCCGCCCGCCCGCCCCGCTGCAGCCCGACGTGCCGCGGGGGCTGCCCCGCCGCGGGGACGGGCCGAGGGGCGCGGTGCCGCCTTCTCCCGACCCCCCGCCCCAAGGGTTTATCCGTAGTTGCGCGCCAGCTGATAAATCCCAGATGCTGGCGGATTTTTTTTTTTTTTTTCCAAGATGACCTTTTCGATAGTCGATTTGAATTTTAAATTTTAATTAGGCGTAATCGCATCAAAAGTGAGCGCCGTGAGTGTGGGAGTGAGGAGGGGGTTGCGGCGTCGGCGGGCGGGGTTCCCCGCCGCGGTTCCCACCGCGGTTCCCAGCGCAGCCCGGGGTCGGACCCGGCAAACGCCGCCGAAACCCGCCGGGAGCTGCGGCTGCCGGAGCCGCTCCGGCCCCGCTTGGAAGCGGCGGGGATGTCGCTGCTGTGGGTTATCCCGAAGCCCCCGGGGCTGCAGCAGCGCCGGGAGGGGAGGCAGAGTCAGGGAGCGATGGATGGAGGCTCCGGATCGATGCTGAGGTTTTTGTTGCCCTCGGAAAAGAAAAGGGATGAGTGTGAGAGTGCTGGTGGCTGCGGGGGAGTGGAGGGGGAGCTGGGTTCGCTTCAAAGCTCTCCTGCGCTCGCCCTGCGTGGTGTCAATCGGAATCTCCAGCCCGTGCTTTAGCTTCCAACAAGTACAGCAGGGAAACTCCTTTCCATTCCTTCCTCTAGGCTGCCTTGCCTGAACTGTAATATCTGCAAGATAGCAAGTTTTATATATATATAGACATACTTTTTTCCACAGTTTTCCGTAATTTTCTACAGTTAGCACCTTAAAACGTGAGGTTTCTTGATTGGTATGTTTGTTACTAATTTAATCTGTTTCTTTGATGTGTTATCTTTAGGCTCTTTGTCACAGGAGTCAGGGTCTGCATCGCCGATGACACTTTTCTCTCACGAACCTCAACTATTTAACTCCGTTGGCAGCAGAATGCCAGGATATTTGGGTGGTTTTGAGCGTTAATGATTGCATCGTCACAAAGCTCTTCTCAGAGTAATAGTATTTGGTAATACTGTCATTCCTATGGTTCGAATTGGAAAACTCCAGCCCAGAATGTGGAGTTGCCCTGCTCCAGCAAAAGAGTTAAAGGTCCTGGGGTTAAATCTGTCACCGTTCAGTAAAGCCAGGAGCTTTATCTATTTGTCCACCATGGCAGACATGCTCAGGGAGCAGGAGCTGTGTCTCTTTAAAGACTGTATCATCCCACAGTTGCAGCCTGATAGTTACAGGCTCTACCAAAAGTGGAGCAATTTCTGCCCCCAAGTGCAAGTGCAGTTTCCATGAAGGTGCTCAGTGGATTTGTTAACCTGTGGGGTTTTGTTGTCTTTGTACATTGAAAATGTTAGGCAGAATCTTGCATTCATATTAATTATGCTACTTGGCAGAAATCCCTTATTTTTTAAAATTCATTGTTCATTTTACCCTCTCCTCTTTCTTTAATAAATAAGTCGAGGGAAAAAAAAAAAGATTACAAAAAGAAACAAGGTTTTAATTCCTGTTTGGGTGCTGTGAACTAGGTATTATTGCCTGCAATCTAACAGTGTCTTATTTTTAGTAAACCAATTACAATTTCATAGTAAGTTGTGGTCATTACTGAGTTTGAAATGTCAGACAATACAAGAGTGTTCCCATTTCTCTAAGTATCCATTTGGCACATTGCTGGCTTGCTTTTTCAGGACTCAGAAATACTACACTCAGCTTCACACCAAGGCAACGCTGGATACAATACAGGTGTTGTACTGATTTACCTACGGTTTTATAAAATACTGGTAGTACAACTCCCTAATGTAAACAAGCACAAAGTCATTACTGGAAGCAAGGCAACAGGAAGAACTGCCCCAGAAACTTTATTCCAAGAGCTCCTGCCTTTCTGACAGCCCTTGTGACAGCATGGTGGGGTAAGCAAACCATCTGCCTTCACATCCCTGCCCCCCAGCCCTTCTCATGCTCAGGGCTCCCCTACTAGGAAGCCCAGAGGAGGCTCCTTTTTCAGTCCTTCCTCAAGGGAGCAGAGCCAGGCAGAGCTGCTTGGCCAAAATAGAACTTTCTGGCTGGTGTCCATGCTCAGAGGAGATCACAACCACTGTGCTGCTGAACGTGAGGATGGCTGAACGTGAACAGGGACTGATGGAAGGTGTTGGGAGCAACCACGGTGGGTATCCTTGTGCAGCTGTGTGCATTTCTGTGTCTGGCTACAACCCTCCTGGCCTCCAATAAGCCTTTTGCTGCTTATGGAGCCTTCTAGAGTCAAGCAGAAAGCCCAGGTTTAGGGCAGAGACAGTAAAAATCAGTGGTGCTGGCAGGACTTCTACTTGCCAGGCAAAGCTAGCCCTGCTCCTGGTTGTTTTTGCTGCCTGGACACCAGCCAAAGCTGGTGTTAGTAATTAGTAGAAAAACCAACTGGATCAAGTCCATAAAGCCCGAGGACTCACTTCCATTCTTGCCCCTTTGATCCAACCAGAGTAGGTATTTACCGAGCGGGGCCTCTCCAGCCCTCTTTGTTGGCCAAATGCAGAAGCGGTAGCAACAGGTTTTTCATGCGATCTAATAATTTTCTCTCTCACCGCATTGGGCAGAAGCCTCTTTGTGTTTGTTTCTACATGATTTCAATGCTTTTATGTTCTCTTTTTTTTTTTTTTTTTTTTAATAGGGCATCTTCTTTGTGATAGTCCAGTTGCATTTCAGAGGGAGAGTCAGGGCCTGAGACTGTTTGATACTCGCAAGATTGAAGCTATTTTATGTGCATTGGTCATAGAGAGGTTTATTTGCAGAAGTTCTTCCAAACTTTTTCAAAGGCTGTTTTATCCCTTGCAGACAGCAGCGGGCATTAGAAAGACTGAATGCTTCATTCCCTCCTGTAAAACTGTAAGGAATTTAACCCCAAAAGAGGGTGGTAAGACAAGGAGCTGCCATAGGCATCCGGGGAGCTTCCCCAATTAGCAATCTCCTCCAGCACTTACCCTGCATTCAAATCCAAGGTCAGCATTTGGGGGGTTGCTCAGTTTGCAGTCAAGTCATAAAAGTGGGCACGACCTTCCCAAAGATTCTTTCAGGCACATCATCCAATACTCAAGAAAGCATTAACTTGCACTGCTGCCATGCCAGACATTAATCAGAGCATATATTGCAGACAGTCTCCTCAGCAGTGTGCTTATGTGAGTCGTATTTGTTTTATGGCTGTCCTGCTGATTTCTCCCTGATAATGAGACCCTGTGTGCACTGCAGTATTTGTGAGCATATATTGTAGCAGCCAGGACCATTGTCACATCATCCTACCAAGTGGAGAGGCTTGTGGCACTAAGCTGCATTTGTAAATTACATATTGTTCCATTTGCTATAATGCTGTTATCAATAAGGCTACACCAAACCAGCAACGGGCATTAAAATCAAAAAGGACTCTGCAGAGGTGCCACTGGCACAGGTCACATTCGGCTCTGCAGTGAGAGCTTGCAACATCCCTGTCTGAGCCAGCCAGGCATTTAATATCACACCTGTACCTTGGCTCCCTTGTCAGTGGCTGGGCAGCAGCTTCCGCTCAGTTATTCATCTTCCGTAGTTTTCACTCAGCTTGCCTAACCCTCAACTTCTGGTTGTTTTTGTGACAATCTGCCGTGTTCTGGTTTTCTAGAAATGGTAAATGAAGGTACTTTTTTCAGCCATTGGTTTTTTTCCATAAGGGGAGCATGCTTCTTGCTTTGCAGTGCTGAAGGAAATTGATATGGCATTGATAAAGGCACACTCTCTTCTTGCAGAATTTTTTTCCCTCTTTCACCCTTGCTCATCACCTGTATTTTAACATTGCATGGGTTTTCTTGGCCAAAATAACTTATAATACAATCAATCATGGTATCTCCTTTTTAATATTTGTTTTATTTATTCATCAGTGCCCAGGAAGGAAATCTGAGAGCCCACATTATAAATTACCAGGTGTACAGAAGTTTGTAGCAGGTACAGATAATGACAGTGAAAGGTCATA